CACTTGCGTGGGGGGGCACAAGGGGCTGTGGAAGGGACCCCCCAGCCTTGCTCAGTCCCAGCTGAGACGGTGCAGGACCAAACCCCACGATGGGTCTGTAATTTAAAAGGCAGTAGGAGATGCGGGACAAGCTGCTGGGCTCCTGCTGCCTTTTGAATTGCAGAGCCACAGTGGCTGGCTGTGTCTAGACTGGCCAGTTTTTTCGGAAAATCAGCCACTTTTCCAGAAGAACTTGCCAGCTGTCTACACCGGCCGCTTGAATTTCCGCAAAAGCACTGACAATCTCATGCAAGATTGTCAGTGTTCTTGCAGAAATACTATGCTGCTCCCATTTGGGCAAAAGTCCCTTTTGCGCAAAAGGGCCAGGGGAGACAGCTGAGATTTGTTTTGCGCAAAAAAGCCCCGGTTGCGAAAATGGCGATCTGGGCTTTTTTAAAAGTATTGCATTGAATTTGCCTCTAACATTTCAGGCTTCTTATACGTCAAAGAGGACATCTGTCAGCTATATTGCTTCAACAGTAAGAAATTTTTGAGCGTTCACCCTTTCATCTTTGTAGCAGACTAATATCTTGACTCCATACAAAGCCCACTTGGCAATGTTTACAGTATGGTTTCAAAATCTAAACACATGCTAATGATCCCAAACCTTTGCTTTACTAGACCAAAAACATTGAGGCTGTGTCTACATTGGCGCGATCTTGCGCCAAAGCGGCCGCTTTTGCACAAAAACATGCTGCCTGTCTACCCTGGCAGGGAGTTCTTGCACAGGAACTCTGACGTTCTATTGTGTGAAATCAGTGCTTCTTGCGCAAGAACTATGATGCTCCCGCTCAGGAATAAGCCCTCTTGCGCAACTGTTCTTGCGCAAGAGGCCAGTGTAGACAGGCAACATGAATTTCTTGCGCAAGAAAGCTCAATGGCTAAAATGGCCAGTGGAGCTTTCTTGTGCAAGAGAGCGTCTACACTGGCACAGATGCTTTTGCGCAAAAGCACATCTCTTGCGCAAAAGCACATGCCACTGTAGACGCTCTCTTGCGCATATACTTTAACGCAAAAACTCTTGCGTTAAAAGTATTTGCGCAAAATCTTGCCAATGTAGACGTAGCCAGTGGGTTTTGGTCCCACATCCAGCACGAATAGGGACGGAGTGGGTTGGTTGCTTATCGACTAATCAAGTAGTTGATAAAAATTCTATCGAATACTCTTAGTTAAATACTCTTAACATCCCTAGCCAGTAGCAGGTCCATCTGGAACACTCCGGTTTTTGCTCAGTGTGGCTGGCACAACGTTGAGGTCTGGCAGCTCGGCTCTTGTGGCTGTATCCTGGACTTGGTTTCCAGAGAACTTCCATTTGGACTCCCCTTTATTACAGTGAAACTTGAGTCCTGCTCAGAAATACCTTAACCATTCATTATGTGAAAGATCATTTCCATGGGGAAGCACTGGAGATGACCATCGCTGTAGGGGTGGAGAACTGGGGATATCAATGCCTTGGGGAGAGTATGAGTGCCTGGAATGCGAGGGCCTCAACTTCACAGAGTCCTGAAAGTTGTCGATGTCATAGGGTAATTGTTGGCAGATGGGGCACTTAGTGGAATGCAGCACTTGCATGGAGAAGCAGCAGCATTGTATTTTTTGTGCTGCTAGTCCACTCACAACTGCTTTTTACATATCTCCTTCCCATCATCTCCCTTTGCTTCAGAGGGGTAGCCAAGTTAGTCTGTAACTGAAAAAACTTAAACAAATAGTTTTGCAGCCTCTTAAAATCTAACAAAACATGTAGATGGTAGTCTTTAAGGTGCTGCAAGACTATTTGTTGTTTTTTAAGTTTTTCCATCATCTCTCTGTTTCCAAATTATTTTTCCCCAGATATGTCCTCTTGCAGTTTCTCATGCTGAATCTCATACACTTTATTCCTTTTGATCTATACACGCTAATTTCACTGGTTCACCTATCTATTACTATGGTTTGTAACACTGTCACATATACTATCTTCTCTGGATTTAATTAACTACTGTTTACTCCCAGCATGGTCATTTGCAAGTAGCTCTCCTCTCTTCCTTTCTAAACCTCTGAGTTTGGTTAGTTCAATTAAATGTATTTCCAGGTGAAAGTCACTATTACGCCATCATGTGGATTATGATCATTAGATTATTTCTGTGTAAAATCTTTTTTTAAACCTCAGGGCACATGAGTCTGATGAGCCAGGAAAGCTTATTCCCATAGTGGACAAAAACTATTAATAAAATAGTGCATTTGAAAGACTTACTCTGACTATGGTTTATGGAAGGCCCTGGAATGGTATTCCAAGGGGTTAAGTCTAGATTAACCCAGCTAAAGGAAATGAGTTTAATGCCTTTTGTTAATATGATACGATCATACACTGCATTGAAGAAAGATTAATGCTATCAAATTATTTTTTAAACAATGGGCTTGACCCAGCTATTACTGAAATAAAAGGTCTATTTATTTATCTTTAATGGGAGTTGGATGAGAGGGACTGAAATCTTTCTGCTGTAATAAACAACTCGAGTTGCCAGTAGTGCAGAACTGTATCATAAGGTAACCAGTAAAATCTTGTTATATGACACTAGGATTTGGCTGCTTGATTCTTATCTCTAGCAGAGCATATTTCCCTTATAATTTATGTTACCTCTGGCTACACATAATTATGCTTAGTATTTTATGGTCCATTTAACTTTCAGAGAACAGTACAAAAATTCCCTAACTGACCGAATTGTGAAAGAACCATTGCAAGAGATAATCACCCCTGGGCTAGTGCTGGTCAGTTTGTGGGGGAAGGGAATGTTGCCTAGTCAAAAAGAGAAGTCTTGATGATCTAGGAAGAACCAAAGAAGAGAGTTGATAAAGGAACTACTCAGTAAATGCCTAGGGGACAATAAGAGTAACACTCAGCCTTCAAGCATCTCCTTGCAGCAGGTAGGGTTGCCAGATGGTCTCCTAAAAATACCAGACACTTGGTATTTTTTGGTCGAGCAAAAAAACCAACAACAACGGAAAAAAACGCGGGCTAAGCGGCGATCGCAACCCCGCCTCCCAGCTGGGACTCCCAGGCTGGGAGGCGGGGCCACCATCGGCGCTGGGAGCCCATGATTGCACAGAAGCCTGGTGGGGGAGTGGCTGGGAAAAGTTTTTCTGTTAAAAGTATTTCCGCAAAAGAGTGTGTAGCTTGGCACGGATGCTTTTGCACAAAAGCATCCGTGCCCAGTATAGATGCGCTTTTGCGCAAGAAGGCTCCTATGGCCTTTTTAGCCATCTGGCTTTCTTGCACAAAAAATTAAGGTGCCTGTCTACACTGGTCCTCTTGCGCAAGAGGGCTTATCCCTAAGCGGGAGCATCAAAGTATTTGCGAAAGAAGTACTGATTTCTTACATTAGAACGTCAGTGCTCTTGCGCAAATTCAAGCGGCCAATGTAGACAGCTGGCAAGTTTTTGTGCAAAAGCGCCTGCTTTTGCGCAAAATCTTGACAGTCTAGATGCACCCTACGGGTTTTTGACAAGGTATAGTGCTACCTTCTCCCTTTTGATGAGGTCTTCAGAACTCATGTTTACACAGGTATTTATGGAAGGGATCATAATATCAGCTGTTTAAAGAACAAGAACCCAGGTTTGGGATTATTTCTGGTATGTTTTGATGCTTTAATACTAAGTTCTCTCTCACAAACAGAGGCATGACTGCCTGACCATGTTTGTTTGTTTGTTGTTTGGTACTGAACTGCTTCACCAATCTGCAGTGTTATTGTAGGCACGGTCCTTTCCATGGCTTGGATTCATCATAATTCCTGATCGGAAAGACCCTCTTGATTCATTTATTAGTAATAGCAGTAGTATTAGCAGCATGACAATATCACACAGCAGGGCTCCTCCACTTTAGAAGCATCGGGGGCCACAGTGATACTCATAGCACATGCCAAGGGCCGCAACTTAAGTGTGGTTTCATATACATGCAAATATATATGCAGACAGCTTCTTTCACACTGACTGGCATGAATACAAAAATTAAAACAAGACTACACAACACACAGGCCCCATTTAAGTCAGTTCTGCTGATAATAATAAAATACAGTATTTACCGGATTCCCACCCATATTGCAGCACTTTTAATGAGCAATGACAGTCCAGGAATTTAACTACTAAAACGCATATCAACAGAAGACCATTCTATTGACTCGCCATTGTGGCGCGTGTTCCCAGTGGAGGCCATGTCCAAAGGATCCCCACCTGCAGGCTGTATGTTGAGCCCCAAGTAAACCCAAACCACACCGCAGGCTAGAAACAAATGGGCCGTGAGCCTAGGGTTGCCAGGTGTCCGGCATTCTACTGGACAGTCCAGTATTTGCACTCTTTGTCCGGTAAAAAAATCAGAGAATACCGGACATGTGCAATGTCCAGTATTCTCTGATTTTTCTGGCTGCGCACCGGACGGATGCCTGGCGTGGGCGGGGGGAGCAGCTGGAAGGCAGGGCCGTGATCAGCACTAAGAGCCTGTGATTGCTTAAACCAAGGTATATGCCGCACTACACAGACAGCATAACTTCACCTCAGTGGACACTGCAGGTTACTTAACTGGCTGTTGGCCTTAATTTTTGTCAGTTTCACAGTTCCAGGTGAGAACCTGAAATTGACAAGAAAGCTGGGTGTGTGAGAAATGTTAATTTTACTTTGCAGGATACAGATTTATAAGAAAGAGTTTTACTTGGCTCATCGCTATGCCATGGAATTTCTATATTCCTTTTTGATGAAATTCATGGTTTTCACTAATATATTGCTTTAGCATATGCAATCAGCATCCCAAAAATAATGCTGATCTTTTATTGTAATTGTTGTAGCCTTGTCTGCAGAAGGATATCAGGGTAGCCTGCAACCTCGCATGCCTGATGGCATTTGCACCTCCCAAAAATATGGAAGGCCCCAAACTGCAAACCAAGATGAGCACATGGACACCTCTAAACCATCAGCTTATGAATGACAAGGTAAATACCATACAGCTACCTCAGATATAGGCCAAATCCTGCTTCCCTAACTCGTGAAGAAACTGTAATGCAAGTCAATCAAGAATTATTTAGCCCTATAGGTAGAAACCATCCTATTATTTAAAGGCCGATTTTTCTACTGTGAATGTGCCAAATCTTCAAGCCCTTTATTTCATGGGAGTTGTGCCTAAGTAAGGAATCAGTAATAACTTTTAATTTCAAGACTTGAGGATTTAGCCCAGTCATATTAATTTAGGCTGTATTGTGTGTAAACTTTCAAAATGGAATTCCCTGTGTCTTTTCTTTATTTTCTTGCCACTCGCGTTACTTTAAAACTACAAATGTCTTTTCAGTTGTTTAAGGTGCTGGACAGATATGCTTAGGGATTGACGTCTTCATTTGAGCCACAGAACAAGTACAGAGCAGGAGCCGTGTAAGTTTCACCAAATAGTCAGTGTCTCCTCTGGGACCAAAGAGGCTTGTGGTACATGGCCTCTCTGCTGAGATTGCCACCAAGTACGCCAGATACATTAGAAGTCTTAGGGAGGGGCTCATCTTACAAGTAAAAAGAAGTTTTTCCTAATTTCAAACCCTACAGACTATATCTGGGGCAGTGTAGCTGGGCTCACACACATATCCTTACCAGTAATATTCTTTCCTCAGAATTTAGTTAATTCCCTTGGTAACATTCCGGAATCTAATATGTTTTCCCATATTTATGCTTTTTCTCTTCAGGAGAAAAAATAGAAAAAAAATTATCTGACCACTAAAACCAACAGATATCACTTTCAGTATACGCAAGGAGCAGCAGAGGGGCCGACAGTCTTGCTGGGCCCATGGGTAAGGTGGGGAGGCAGCTCTGTGCTTCTGGAACGGGCTAGGCCTCAGGTGGAAGAGGCACGGCTGGGGGCTGTCAGCCTTCAGCGTCGCACATAGCACTCAGGCTGCAATGTAAAGGGTCTGGGGCTCTAGCCATTGCTTTGGTAGCCCTGATAGCCCTTTTGACTCACTGGGTCCCGGGTTAACTGCACCCTTTGTTGGTGGGCCTGCACAGCAGATTTATCAAGAGAGAACGTGCAGTTTTTAAATGGTCGGCACTTTTAAAAGGGATCTGAATGAGAAGAGTAAGGCCCTTCAAGTTCAGAGGGGCAGAGTAGAAAAAGTCCTGAGTGACTGCATCATAGGCATGTGGGACTGGAAGGAACCAAGGGTATGTCTACACTAGCCACCCTAGTTCGAACGAGGGTGGCTAATGTAGTCATTCGAACTTGCAAATGAAGCCCGGGATTAAAATATCCCGGGCTTTATTTGCATGTTCCCGGGCGCCGCCATTTTTAAATGCCCGGTAGTTCGAACTCCCTGCCCACAGCTACATGCGGCACGGGCTAGGTAGTTTGAATTAAAGCTCCTAATTCGAACTACTGTTACTCCTCCTGCAAAAATGGTGGCGCCCAGGAAATTGCAGGAGGAGTAACGGTAGTTCGAATTAGGAGCTTTAATTTGAACTACCTAGCCCGTACCGCGTGTAGCCGCGGGCAGGGAGTTCAAACTACCGGGCATTTAAAAATGGCGGCACCTGGGAACATACAAATAAAGCCCGGGATATTTTAATCCCGGGCTTCATTTGCAAGTTCGAATGACTACATTAGCCACCCTAGTTTGAACTAGTGTGGCAGTGTAGACATACCCCAAGAGAGGTAAAAGAGAAAGAGATTAGAGGAGACATAAGGTGTGCATAGGAGGGTGACTTAAAGGAGGAAGTGAGGGGCAGGAGATCAGAGTAAAGATTGAGCAGAGTCATGAAAGGCCTTGCAAGAGAACAAGAAGCTCAGACCTGATGTAGAAAAGGAAGAGAAGCCAGGGAACAATTACACTGATTTCTGGTAATTTGTTTCCAAGTGCCTGGAGTAAACAGACCTTCTTGGCAGAATTAACTCAGGTGTACTCATATGAGTTCTGAAAGCAAATACTGTATCTTTCTTTGATCAGAGGCCATTAACATTGCTTTCAACTATGACATAACACTCGGTTTCACTTGAATTTCTCCAAAACCAAAACTCAGATCTCTGACTATATATCACTGGCTTGTGGCAAATTTTTTCAAAGCTGAGCCAATAAAATGCTTACTAAAGGGCCTCTTATTTTGCCAAGTGCCTTGTGCAAACAAAACAAAACACACAATAACTGTAAACATGCAAAGAAAAGAGATGTCAGTTTTTCACCCCTGCTGAGAGAGACAGAATTAGAGTTGACAATTGAACTGTACCAAATGTCAACACTCATATTGTCTCTCTCTGCAGGAGCCTTTCTTGCTGGCTGCCAAAACAACAACATGTTTGGAGTCTGCAATGATGAATTCTATTTTCCTCCTTGTGGTTAGTAACTGTTTGAACGTGCACTCATGAGTTGGGTGTCTGAGCGTTTCCTCTTTGATCCTTATGACAGAATAGCTACTGTAGTCCACGCTTCCCTGTGCACTCTCCTGAATGATGAAGGTAAAATTCTGGTGCTTTCAGTCTCTGCCCTAGTGGATAAATGCCCACATTGCAAAACCACCAATACATTTGGCACTAACTTGTCCCTCTGATGGGTGGTAGTCTCAGCAGAGGCTGTGGACAGCAATGAAGACTGAACTCCTTTCTTACCCCAAAAGGTGATCCCTCCAACTTATGACTGCACATTGGCAATGCCACATGGGGAACTATGAACTGCTTCTCTCCTGGCTGTAACTATTGACCAGACAAAGAGAGGTCTGCAGCATTATCTCTCTGGAGTTCCTCAGGAGCACTGTATTCATTAAAAAACCCCAAACGCTAACTAAATAAAGAGTACAAATGTCAAACCAACACTTTAAGGCCCTGATCATTGTGGATGGTATGATTGGCAATGCCACATGGGGAACTATGAACTGCTTCTCTCCTGGCTGTAACTATTGACCAGACAAAGAGAGGTCTGCAGCATTATCTCTCTGGAGTTCCTCAGGAGCACTGTATTCATTAAAAAACCCCAAACGCTAACTAAATAAAGAGTACAAATGTCAAACCAACACTTTAAGGCCCTGATCATTGTGGATGGTATGGGTCAGTGGTCCCCAATGCGGTGCCCGCCGGCGCCACCGCGCCCCCCGGGGCATTTGTTCGC